AAAAAAAAAAAAAAAAATGTTAACATCGGGTTCAGCCCGAGAACCACTGCAGTGCTCCAGGTAAAATGCTTTTTTCACTCTTGGCAATAAAAGGGAGAGATGGGGTGGAGGTGGTGGTGGGGGCGGGGATAAAAGGAAGAAAGAGAGGTAGGATCTAGTAACACTGTCGGTAAAATGCCAAAATGTATTAGCCAACTGTTCTTTTCTCACACGTCCGCTCGACAGTCGAGGAGAGATGGAGGGATAGAGGGAGGAGGGTGGGAGGGAAAGGGTTCTCTTAAAGGCTGTCAAAAGAACGGATAAGGAGATTAGCTTTGTCATTCTGTCAGGAAGGGGAAAGAAGAAAGAGAGTACTCTGATTTGAAGATGTTCCCCCAACCTATAATCAGAGGGGAAAGGGGAAGAAAAAGAGCAGTGGAGAGACAGGCAGGCATTTAAAGATGTTCCCTGGCTTTCTCTTATGAGTGCAGAAAAGCGAGAGGGGAAGTGACACAGCATCACAGACAGGGTTGAACTAGTGGCATCGCGAGGAAAAAAAAGTGGTATCAGCAAGTGGAGTAAAGGGCAAGGCAGAGAAAGAGAGGGGAAGATACTGTATTTGCAGTAAATCCTTCACAGTCCTTTTGATTTCACAGCTCCTGTGGAAACATTTACCTGGCTCTCATCACAGTTTATACTAAATCTCTGCAACAGCAAACACTATTTTCAGCCCCAAATTCCTAAGAAGTACTGGGATTTTTTTAACTTAAATCTGTAATAGGCTTCTTATTGTCATGAAATCCCATAAAACGGCCAAGACTAACCAATAATATTTGATAAAAGCGTTATGACTTCCCTGCCCTGTCTCAGTCCAAAGCTCACTGGTTCCTAATGAAAATGTATTTAACATTTAACATAATTATAGTTTTTTTTTTTTAAGAGCTCATTTCTTTTCTTGATTTGGCATTGTAGTTTTTTAGCAAATGTCACTTAAACTGGAGTAAATAGTGCATTTGTTGGGGACTATTTCTATCTGCGGATAAATTCACATTTTTAGCTAATATTTACAGCAGCAGGGTGATGTCTGTGGAATCAACTCATAGTAAACTACGGTGTCCATGTTCATGGTAAGGAAGTATCAGACAGGTTTATTAATGGGTTTTTATTACACCAGTACCACAAATGAATAAGCTACTGTTGATCAGGCTTTAGCTACACAGAGGGAACACTTCTTAAGCTTTATCCTGTAAGTAAAATCAATCAATATCACAATGTAGAAAATACTAATTTACAAATAAAAGTCTTTAAAAATAACTTAACTAAAAGGTAGTTATAATGCAGAAGGACCACTGTCACAGTGCTATATACAGTGTATTATATTATTGGGTTATTATTATTGATTAATTAATATATGAGTAGCATTTTAATGTTTGAGTAGGAGGTGATTTTTAAAGGATAGTAGATTAAGAACAGTATGTTTTTTCCATATGTACAGTATATGTAGGTAGCCTATACATGTGATGTACTGTGAAAAGTCACACAAAATCAAATTACAGCTATAAATTTCAAGAAAATAGTTCCTCCGATTTCTTCTAACTGATGTCCAGACACGACCATTGAAGTGTCTATAAAATGCTATAAAATCCAAACTGTCACAGAAAAGTACATGACCTCAAAACCCCACACCACAACAAATCCATGTGTCCTCGGTTGCTATGGCAACACACAGACCTGACACACAGTGTAAGGGCAACAGAGGAATCCCACAGCCGTGAACTGTATGTTTGAGCCAGATGAGCCCTTAATGACCTCAACTAAAAATACTAGAGAGCAACTTCACCTTGTTTGACCCAGCATAATGACAACAAAGTAAAAGTATCTAAAAATATAACTCCCTTATCTCTTTCTCAGATGCTCACTGCTTCTCTCTGTCTTCCCTTCCTCCTCACCCTTTGGTCAAATAATCACACCTCTGTACATTTAAAACAGAATCCAGCTCTTGGGGCTTATCTTATTTACCCATTTTTCAAAGAGCTCTTGTGTTTGAGTGTGTGTTTTTGTCTTTTCTCTCTATCTCTCTCACACACACTCACTCTCTCACACACACAAACACACACCACACAACACACACACACACACACACAACACACAGCACACAACACACACAGCTTGCCTTCAGCTAGACTGGAGCTGTGTGTGGCTTAATTTAGCAGGTTTAATTTGTTCTCTCCAGACCTGTCGAACAGATAAGAGGGAGGAGGAGAGAAGGCAGAGAGAGGAAAGGAGGCAGAGAGAGAGAATGAGGAGAAGCAGCAATGGAAGGAGAGAACAGGTGTCTGAGATGGTATCAGCATGTCAGCTAATGACTAAAACAACCTGAACTGAGAGAGGCATCTGCAAGGTAGTGAGATACAGACTGGACTGAGGTTGATAAAAGAAAAACCATGAGGGAAAGTAAAACAGGATCAGTGTGAGAGAGAGAAAGGGCAGCGTGGAGTCGGATGGAAGCATACAGGGAAAAGAGAGTGAATATAGACCAAAACAAAACACATTTTCACTACTAAATCCTTGCCATGCTTAAAATCTGTCGCTCTGTGTGTTACACCTATTATCCCTTTCTCCAAATCAATCTGAATCAACACCTGTCTGATTAGGTCTTCTGGGTTCGTAGTGACCATTGTGCCACTGTACTCTTGGTGTTCTCGCTCTATACTTAGCCACTTTATGTGCCTTGAACTGTTTGGATAGCTATTTGATCTGAAATGAGCTTCAGGAAAAATTGCCTCTAACAATTTCAACACATACAGTAATATATAAGACATAAAAAGCTGTTGTAGCACTTATCTGATGCCAGATCAGGTCAACCACTGAATTATCTGTGGATAAGAGAGCATTGATCTGCAGGGGTGAGGGAGCGTTGTCAATAAGAGCACTGAAGACTTGCCTGTAGTCAGCTTGCGTTACCCATGTTTGTGTTGTGTTAAATCTGCACAATTGCTACAGTACGTATCTGCTTAACTCTCTTAACTGCTGAAGTGCCCTTTTACTCTTCTACTGGTGATTTTTAGCCGACACCAAACAGCTTCAGGAGTTTTACTACTATTCACTGTGTTAGAGTGAGGCTCAGGCAGATTTGTTTGTAACCCAGGAAAACCAAGACAGATTGCAGTCAGATTTTTGATCTGTTTATTGGAGACACCTGCAGTATATCATGTCATCATCATCATCAAGTGTAAAGAAAAGTGTATTAAAACCCATCTGAATTGTATTCATATATAACACACTTGAAAGTGTAAACAGGGTCTAATAAAGTAGACCACATTTCAGATTGGGTCTCCTCCAAAGAAACAAAACCCCACCAACTGTAGGCAACACTGCAGTCAAACAAAGGCCTTACTCATTATTCATGTCACTGTTTTTCCCCCAGATCATTATTCTTTGATCCTTTTCAAATCTTGTTTTCAGCGGGTGTGATTTGTCATCTGCAGTGCAGGCTTACATGAAGTAATGAGTGCTTTTGACTGCGTACGATAAACATTTAGGAGCTATTTGGTTGTAAAGTCCCAAAGAAAAGCTTTATGAGAGCACAATTCGGCCTCATTATATTCAGTGTGTATAGAAGCAGCTCTAACATCTCTGACACTCTGACATGATACAATTAACAGTAATGTTCTTTTTGTTTGGGGGGGGGGGTATTCCTGGGAAGTGTTGCTAAGCCAGGTGCAGCAGGAAAAGACCACTAATTGATCGAAGAATATGACTCAAGTTAGTTCCCAGAATGCCATTCTAAGTCATCTGCTTTCTACATAGTTAGTTGATGTACCCTGGAATATAACTTAAAATGAAACCAACATATTTGTGTGTTTTTGTGGTAATGCTCGATGATAAACAGCATCAATCAAGGGCTTTCAAAGACATATAAAAAATTATTTATTGAATTTTTCCCTCTAATAGAGTCTTTTGATGTTGTTGACGTGTCTATTTGAGATTTTAGATTTTAAGTTTGTTGTTCTGCAAATCTCTGTTGCTGCTGCTGGAAGTTCAGTAAAAAAGTAAAAAATCAATGTCCACTAATTTACTGACCCAACCCGAGTGTAGGTATCAATGTAAAAGCAAATATGAGTAATTAATATAAGTCTCTACTTTAATACTGTTTTAAAGTCAATCCCCAAGAGACACCGTCAAAAGTATCAAAGTTAACTACAAGAACAACAAGGAAAGCCACTGTGCTAAGAAGCATTTTTTTGGCTTTAACTTGAAAATTAGCTTAGACTCAGACACAGATTAGACAGCATAAATGTAGCAGGTGTGATTTATCTACTAACTTAAATGTTCTCCGTCTGTAAGTGAGATAACTGGTCATGCAGAATAAAAGTTGACAGGGAAATGCTCTTGCCTTCCTCACCATCTACCACACACTTAATCCTCAGCTGCTCCAGTGTACAACTGTACAAAATGGAGGTTGAAAGGGGCAGCTCCCTGGTGTCCCCTCCACTAGACTGCTACTGTAAATAAGAATTTGTTCCCTCACCACCAGTGAACATGGCGATATTCCCTGAAATATTACTTTAAGCTTCTAAAAAAATATTGCTTCATAAATCAAACAAGAAATTATATTCAAAAACAAGTCACCTACAAAATGAGCTTCTTTTAGCAACGTAACAAATACCCCCTGAAAAAGATGCTCGTACATTCTGTTGACTACTTTCTATATTTGAACCTGGAGTTGCAGATTTCTTAACTTTGCTACATGAAATTTACAGAGGTGTTTATTTACATCATCTGCCATTTCCTTATTAGGCATGTAAAAAAATCCAACATGTAAATGCTACATTTTCATGTTTATACTGCTTTGCATAAACAAATAGTACATTTAAATTTTTGTATGATTCAAACTAAATCTGGTTCAACAGCCTGCTTATTTTGGCTCTTTTAGGCTTGTGTAAAAGCTCAAACCCTGGCTGGACTAAACCACTATTCCAAGACCACCACTTAAAAAGAAAAATCTTTCTCCAGTTGCTGTTGGTAACGGTGTTAAAGCAAAGCAGACCAACCACAGGCTTGTGTGATAGAAGACATGATTTGTATATTAATTCAAAAGATAAACTAATAATAAATCCATATGCTGACCATGACCTGTCAAGGTAGTAATCTGTATATTCTACATTTATAATTACACAACATTATTTAGTAACTATGTGCACATTATCACATATGCACATGTGCACATGAGTTAAAGTACATGAGTATAAAGTTAAAAAGAGTTCAAATGAAATGCAATGTTTTATATCATGCAATTCCTCATTAAAAAGTAAGTGAAACATACCAGCCACACAGTAACTATCCCTTGCGGATATAACAGTGCAAGACTTCTCTTTTCTGTCTTGTTTCTACCTGCTCATCTGTTCTTGACATCAGAGAAGACAAATAAGCAAAGTGCATTCCCCCACACAAAAGCAGTATGACTAATACTACCAGTAGGTTCATGTAACTTAGACCCCTTAATACTATTGTAATAAGTCAGCGTGGACATCAAACCTACTAGAACTAGAAGGCGTTATTTTTCTCCAAAAAAAGTAAACTGAACTACATTCGGAAAAGTGAGCGTTTTTGATCAGTTAAAAACATAAACCTGCATAAAGGTTTAATCTACATGTTGCATAGTAAACTTCCATTCAACAAGAACAACAAGAATCAATTTTATTAAAAAAAATAAGAATACAGACATTTAAAAAAAAGAGAGGATAAAAGTTTGGTGCTGTAGGTGACTACAGTCTGTACGCTCAAAGGTTTTCAGTTGTCCCTCTATAGGTTCTGATCCCTGTCTCTTCAACTTTTTTCCAGCCCAGTGTCCCAGATGTGCTTGAAATGAAGCCTTTAACCTTAAAAGGGAATGAGACTAGTAATCTGTAAACATGCATTTACTGGCACACACACACTTACAGGAAACCTTCTGACCTCATTCACAGCTGGATTGGGTGTGCGTTTATGTGTATGAGTACATTTATCCAAAGGCCACATGCAAGAATGTGTTAAACAAAAACCATTGCTTGCTGACAGACTTTGATGTCAACTCTATTACATTAGCAGATGCAAACTTAGACATACACACACACCGAGATAAATTGAGGGCAGTGTGTCTTTGAAGTGTAGTTGAGACAGATTAACTGTTCCATATTGACCGGAGATGGTATTTAAGACTCTTCAAGGAGAGGGATTCGATAGCCAGGAAGATTTTATGTCTGTATAGTACAGAGGGTGATGCCAGAGACTGTGTGTGTGTGTGTGTGTGTGTGTGAGAGAGAAATAGAAGAACAAAGAATGTGTGCATGTGTGCCAAATATGTCAGTCTGATGAGTTTTTATCACCTAAACGTGCTTTGACCAGAGTTTGATTTCTTTCACATACACAAACACTCACACACACACACACACACACACACACACAGGCATGTTGTGACCAGTTTCATTGAAAATTCTTTTAGGATTTTCTTGACATACTGACAATCAGTTAGACAGGCAGACACCTGGATATTTTGGATAACCTTAGATTACACATGTAGCTCCACCACATGTCATACAAGTTGTGTTTAAATGCAACTATTTGAAAAGTTTGAATAAGTAAGGGCATTGCAATAAGCATTTGCCTTTATGATGATCATGATGTTTTCCTAACCCTTTCCATGTGGATTTACTGTAGGTAGCTAACCTCTATTATCACTTACAGCTGTGGTTCTCAATGTTTTTAATATTAAAGATAGACCTCAGGCCGCTGACTTAGGGATACACATCTGTTAAGAACAGAGTAGAATAGTCACTGGAACTCCCTCAAGGACCCTTGGAGTTCCCCGGGGCCCAGGTTGACAACCACTGACTGTAGTACCTGAGAAAATGTAGAAATAAGTCTAAGAAATTATAGAGAAGAAATAAACCACGTGGCATAAAATGCAATTCACACCAACAATGTTTTTGGATCAGTTGGCAAACTAATGTACCAGATACACTTTCAGTACGTTTTCTACACATATCAATCCACCTATTTAAAGGGACCAATGTGTAGGATTTAGTGGATTTAGTGGCTGCTCACCTTCCAAGTGTGTAGAAGAAACTACGGTGGGCGCAAAAATCACAAAAAAAAAATCAAACGGAGCTAGTGGTTGGTTTGTCTATTCTAGGCTACTGTAGAAACATGGTGGTTCATCATGGCGGCATGCATGGAAGTCGACCCGTTCCCTCTCTATACAAAAAGTCTAAGGGAACAAAAGCACAAGATTCTTATTTTTAGGTGATTATACACTAATGAAAACATATCTATGAATATTATATACCATTTCTGCCAATAGATCCTCCGAAATGTTACATACTGGACCTTTAAGGCACGAAACAAAACAAAATCTCAGTAATCATCTTTCCCTTTCTTCTCTTCATAATGGTTTTCTCATCCATAGTCTGCTCAATTGATCAATTAATGATTATTGTTATTTCTGTTGTCCATTCCTGCAGTATGACTCTTCTCTGCCTGCATCCAACACCAACTGGGAGGCTGTCACTATGCTCATGTCGGTGAGTCATGAACACACATACGCACTTATGAATTCTTAAAATCCTAGAATTAAAATTAAAGCTTAACCTCACCTTAATAAGACATATTTATGGCAGGAACAGAGCTTGCACATCAACCAATGAATGCATATTTGACAGTTTTGCACAACATAAAAAGAAATGTACAGCTAGGAAAATGTCGTCACCAGTGTCAGGATTATACAATCTCATTTCATTGAAAACTTTTTTGTTCCAAACTAACTTTTAATAACTTTTAAGAACATGGACCATACAGTTAATATGATAATTCAGCACATACCTACCTACCTAGGTACCCTACCAACGGCATCACCCCACATCACAAGTGTCTTCTGAAGCAACAGTGGCTACACTAATAAATATGACATATGGTCCAATTGCATAGGCACACACCCACACACAGAATACATTCATGCATGTATGTATTGTATTTATTATGCATGAAGCTTGAGATGTAAAATGACGTGCTTACTTAGACTAATGTTTTTATAAGTACATCAGTATAATTTGTGTGTGTCTGTGTGTAGGAGCAGTGGGGTTCAGTGACATATGTGACTATAATAATTAGTGTGCGTCGGGCTGTGTGGCAGTTTTTCTGCATGGATTGATAATGGTTGTAAGTGTGTGGGTGTATGTCTTTGCATGCGGATATGTCACTGCCAGTGCCAATGGGATGTACATGTACAGTTTGTTGGCCTCTTCCACTATATATTTAAATAAAACACTATCTGCTTCTTGATTTCAGGTCGTTTTACATTATGTTTATTGCGGCAACGGCGATAATACAAAGTGTGATATATTCATCATAAAGATAAGCCCTCAGTGATGTGTTGATTTTGAGCATTTTGTTATCCTTACTCTAGTTTTTACATTTATAGTGAACATAAATACAAATTTTACAAATGACAATATGTAGTTGTTTGAAAAATAATATAATGGAGCTTTTGACTTTTCACTTCAACATTCAGGTGAATTGTCATGCCATTATTTTTGTTTTAGGAGTCACATTTTTATAGCATGCAGAGTGATTTTAAAATGATCATTTTTAATGTATACTCATTGAGTCACAATAAATAAAAGTTACAATAAATATAAAGTCTCAGAGGTGTACTTCAGTTCTTATGTTAGCTTTAATGTCCCCCACCATAAGCTCCTGACATCTTTGTCAGGAGCTCACTTTGTGCTTTGACCTATATGGAAGTCACTGCTGGTTATGGCAGCTAATGTCACAGGCATAATAGTCCTACATGTTATAAGAATTTGATTGCAATGGCCTCCTAGCTAGATAAATAGCCGGCAGCAGAGAGCAGGGGCCATATAGGAATCATCTGTGCTACTTTTGACACCCATTATCCCTTAAGTTTCTTACTTATCTTTATTATATTTTCTTATCTCTGTCTCAAACTACATGTTGACATTTACACAAAGGGTAAATGACTGTGTTTGATATACAGTGGTATATAAAAGTATTGTTGCAAAAAATATTAAAATCATATGTATAAATTATTATAAAAAAACAATTCATATAAATGGGAAATTATTACTGAGCAGGTTTAATGACAAAATATTGAGGCAAAGTAAACCTCAAATTATAGAGCATGTAATGATTTTTAGCATTTTCAAGTTTGAGTCAGACTGCTGTGACTGGATGCAAGCATATACCTGTGGTGAAACACTGTACATAGTTTTTCCATCACAGTGTGCTTTACTACAGGTATGTGCATAGAGGTAATTTAGAATCACAGTAAATGCACAATTTTTAGTGTTCAGACCACACTCCACTATACAGAAAGATATAACAACAGTATATTACTGTAATTGAAATGCATCACAGATGTTGAGAGAAAGCCAAAGAGCTAAACTGTGAAGGAAGAAACTGGAGTCATCAAGTTAAGACGTCTCCTTGAAAATCTGTTTTCCATTGCACTAAAAGCTCTGTTTGAAATGTTTAGTAGGGATCTCTTAAATGATTGAATGTGTTAGAGGAATGTCAATATGACACTGACTTTGGCCTTTATGTTTGCTGCTTCTTTGTGGCAGTTTCGATATCTGTTGATATCTCTAACTCTTCCGATGAATCCTTGGATATATTTTCAATGCTTGCAAAGAAACTGTGCTGACCTCCCCACCACAGCACATGCTGTAACTACAGTCTGAACAATAAAATATGCAGTTTGTAAGGAACCAAGAACATTGTCAAGGATTTCAGAAAGTTCAGAAAACCACTGCAGATATACCCTCCTATCTCTTTGCATACAGCTATTGATTCCACATTTCATGAAAAATATTCAGCATAGCCAACCGATTCACCAGATACTGCAAAACACTGACTTGTCCACTGGTTCTCCAGTAACCTTTTCAATGGGATTGTATTATAGTTCTCTGTTGAATAATAATGGTGAAAAAAATAATAAAGCCAACAGATTTCCAATGTTTTGGCATATGGCTGCCTGTGATTTCCCTAATGTGCTGTAGGTAAAAATGCTATAAATGAACAATTGCTAGAGTAGAATAGGCTTAAATTTACAATAGATTTAATAATTTTGTCCTCACCTTTTGACCTTTGTAGGACAGTGGTGGACAACAGATGCCAGCAGCAGTCACAGAGGTTCCTTTCTCATTGGACGATTTGGACCGGACCATAGCTGCCTTTGACACTGTAGAGCAGCTTCTCAGATCCCTGAGCCCAGACACCTGGCGACAGGACCTGGACAGCATCTACACTCAAACACACATACATTATAGATCCAGGGCCTATCATCTGGCAAGCAGACATAATAAAGGTAAGATATAGCCCACTTTATATCTGCAACTTCAAATGAACCTTTCCAATAAACATATGTACGTCATCACACAGTCTTCCAGGATTGCTGAACACTGAACCCAAACATATATGTCCTTGATTGACAGTGCTTTACTGTATACGGCGATAATCATTATCATTATCATTATCTTTCATTTGGTTTTAATATAACTGCATCAAATATAATGCTGACACAGTTTTTCCCATGCAGGACTTAAACAGACTTGTATTTACAGACAGTATTTACTGTCCGTTGAATGCTATCAAGCTATACATTTCCAGTTTTGCAGCATCACAATTGTACATATTAGCTCTACAATTCAATGTCTAACTAGCAAGACATGCATATAAACTCAAATAAAGCTCCTGTGGGTGGGTAAAATGTGTGTTCTGTGTGTACGGTAGACATACAAAAATGTATTTGCAAAAACTTAAACAATAAGCTGCAAGTGTCTGAAAAAAAAGAGTTGCAGGATCAATCAATAGTTCAACAGTACTAACAACTTCATGTCACACAAACACATTTGGGTAGATTAAAATAATGGTAAATGGGGCTCTAAAAGCTAGTAAAGATACAGAATATTTGATATCATCTAAATTGTGCTGCCATAAAAATAAGATCTTTGGTTTTAATATTCCACTTTGTATAAGGATCATATGAATCAAGCAGATACTGTTTTTGTAAAGGATTATGTAGTGTGGAAATAGTTTTCTCTCTTTAAATGTGTAAAGAGACATTTAACAGAAATATTGACCATTTAAATGTGTCAAAATATAAGCACAGCATGGGAAAAGATCTTTTCTAGTGAGGCCAAATGACTTGTAGTAACAGGTTGAGTTTGTAAAGTTTATGCAGCAAGAAGAGAGCGGTGATGTTCTCATCCCATTTTATTGTGCTGCAGATGGTGATCCTCAATAACTATGCTGCGTTCACAGTATTTCACTGCAGACTGGTGCAGTCGTTGGTAGCTGGTGTGATGGAGGGGAGGGGCGAGTGTGCTACCTTGTGCTGACCAAGAAAGACCCAAACAGCAGGAGGCCCATTCTCAGTAATTGGGCTATACATAAAACTCTGTGGTATAGCAATGCAGTGGACAAAGTCTCAGTAATTTGAAGGAAATGTCACAGAGGCACTTTGCTTATGATCAGATATAGCACAGATGACAGCCAATGAAAGGTTAGGGTTAGTGTTGCATATGTAATTGAAACTGCCATCCAGTCTGTGTTAAGAAATGCCTAGAAACCCTCAACCCTCAACCACCAAAGACATTTGGTGGTTGAGGGCAACACATAATCTGGCATGTAGAGGATATATAAATGTAGAAGAAACATCTGTGCGCTTTGTTCCCCTGTGCTGAACACAGAAATTAAAGATGGTTTTGATGAATTTGGGTGTGAAAATACTTTTTGAACTTGAAAAAGGTGTGTACGGAAATACAATTTTCCAATTTTGTGCAAATATAAAAGATCATCATGAAAACTGAAACCAACTCCTGTTCATATTATGATGCAACAAAACACAGTAGCCTGACTAGGTTTTTGCATCATCACATGAACAATTTGCCCTGTAGTTGGTCTGAAAGTGAGTCAGTGACAGATTTATGGTGACACAAGACCAGCAGTTCAACGCAATTCTTTACTGTGAAGTCAGTGACAACGACCTGGAGTCACTGAGGCAATAGATTTTGTCCTTAAGCGCAGATATAAAATTCTGGCATGCAAACACTTATTACACCCACACATGTGTGTGTGAGTGTTAAACGTATAAAAGCATTCAGGCTTGCGACAGACCTGAGTGCTTTCGACCTCATCTCTCTCACCTGTGCCCCTGTATCTCTCTCCTCCACTCTCCCTGTCTTTCTACCCGAGGGCTCTCCTGTTCCTTAGTAAATATTTGTGCTTGACAGCAAATCTATCTCTGTTTATCAGTGAATGTGTGTGCTCGGCTGGCATAAGAAGGCTCTTTATATTGGGGGAGTTTGTGCATGTTGCAGCACTTACAGGGAGGTGCATAGGTGCTGCAGGTCTTTTTGATATACTGTACCGGCGTAGCTCTCTCTAATTGAAAATTCAACCTGTGCAGCGGAGCAGAAATGTGCCACAGTCAGCAGCTTAGCTTTGTTTTCATTAAGACACACACACACACACACACACTCAATAGCTCACACCCACCTTTGTTTTTTTGAAGGACAGTAAGTCTGATCATAATATTAATTAGGAGACTCCAAGTCCAAGTAACTCATATGCATGCAGACTAACAAATACATAGGTCACATTAAAACATAATAATATTCATACAAAGATACCAATTCTTGTGTTGAACTTAAGAGCAGAATCTATAATTGTCGCACACACAGACATTTTTTCATGTTGGTGGCTGTATGAGTGACATAGTCATTCTCGAAGTCTTGCTTGCTTTCAGTCTTTCTGTCTTTTTCTCCCCCACACTCCCTGACAGGGTTCCACACCACTGCGTCTCTGAGATTACACTTATTCCCCTTAAAGAGACACAAGCTCGGCCTTGCAAGCACAAACACACTCACACGATCTGGTCTTCAATCGTGCAATATAAACATGCACCTTACTTACTCCCACACACTCAAACTCACATTAGCATTGAATGTGCCCACCAGAGCCAAAACAGTCGCAGGTGACTCAGTGTGCTTTTGTACCAACTCCTTTACATCAAGCCTTGCATCTCTTTGGGAGGCGTAAACAAACATTACAAATGTTAGAGACACCTGTCATGGCGCTTGACATTCTCAGTTGTGCCATCAACTATGAAACCTTCACATGTTGAAAATCTGCTGTTTTGCTCTTCAGTAATATAACAAAAAGAGAAATGATGGAGTTTTTTTGTCACCTGTACCTTTCACAACAAAAGGAGATGCTGGAAAAAGAAGCTTTCTATGATTTGGCTGTGAGCTGGGAACTGCGTTAGTGCAGCAGGCTCTGTACTGTTGTCCTAGATGATAAGATTAAATATTAAAGGTCCAATGGGTAACATTTAGGAGGATCTACTGGCAGAAATGGAATATATATATTCATATTATCTTAGAATGAGCTGTTTCATTTAGCATGTAGCGGATATGCACACAGCAACTGTCTCTAATAGAGAATGCTTGGATTTTAGAGGAGCATGCAAATATATACCTCATACCCAAATACAAATACAGTTAGCTTTCATTCATAGCATTTCTTTTCTATATCCCTCTTGTATCTCACCACAATCGAGGTTGTCAATATAAAGAGAGCCCCTTCTAGCCTCATCCCTCACTCCCTCTGTATTGCCAAATGATCAAATGATCACATCCCGTTCTTCTCTCTCTCTTCATTGTTCATTGGGTTTCCCACATGCTTTATGTCATTAATGGAAACCCTCAAAGCAAAGATTTATTTTTGTGAACAATTGCTTATTGATTATCAATCCCATTAGGCTTCTCTTGATCCCACTGCATTTCCTTTTGGTTTCTCACTCAAACACAATATTGCACAACTAGCAAATTTGTCATTGTTATACTATTGAGGACATGAGATTTCTAGGCTGTTTCTATTGCATGACTGATCTTTATTGTTGCATTTTTGCAGCAAAGCTAAAAAACAAGCCATTCTCACCAAGCTATACTGTTGTAGTTCACTGCAAATATCGATCTTGACAAGTCCTTTTAGTCTTGTTTTGGGTCGTAAAAGCCCATTGTACTTCAATGAAGTGAAAAATCTAGTGCTGGCTCACGAAAATGTCATTCATCTTCACTGCAAATGAACTTGTTTAAGGAATATTGCAGTTATTTCAAGAAAGGATTATCCCATTTCACCCAGGCTGTGCTCTCTAATTGGCTCTTTGTACTATAGGCTGTACTTGTTGGGCAAACGACCAAACCCACCTTGTACTGGCTGTGGAAATGGCCCTCATACCCTAATCCTGCTTCTACTTTCTTTCAGTCTCATAATGATGGAAGATCTCCACACCACTTGCAATGTTTGTTTTTGTGTGGGAGGAGAGCACTTGGGTGGGTTCAGGGTCGATTACGATAGCTCCTGAATTGAGATCGGAGCTATGATATGCAAAAGAAACCCAATTGGTGATGTCACGTCTTGAACCTTTTTTGTTCTCTATGGGTTCTGTCTTAGATGTACAGTACAGTAAGCAGTTGTTTGGACCCTGGTAAATATGCAGTGTGCATAGGCTCAGACCACCTAAAGGTACCTAAAGGGCAAGGTTTGTAGGGGCTCAACCCACTACTTTCTTTAGTGATATTTTGCCTCTTTCTGTTGGACAGAGGACGCATTCTTCCATAAAAGTGAACGCATCAGCGATTTCTTCTTGTCATGTTGCTTTTGCTGAGGGGTTGCTCAGTCACCTTCTCCTAAAGTGCTTCCTGTAGGTAGTGAAGCATCAGAATGTAGTCCAGTGGGTGCCTCCCATGGTGCTCAAGCCTGTCTCCTTAAGAGCCCATTAAGTGAATGCCCCTAAAGCTTTTACACCCCTTTTTTTATCAGTACAGTAAATAAATCAAACCAGAGTGCTCAAATAACTTGAATCAGTTGTGCCTCGCTGTCCACTGATAGATGTGTAAAATGTGTAATTAAGAGCTAAATATTCATCAGTTCATGTTGACTAATGGATCTTTTCTTAAATATCCAAACTAATCCAGTCTACTGTGGCATACATAATGCGTCATACTACTGCTTTGGTAGTCTGTGTAACAATGTCAGTTAGGCTGTTTTGAGTGAGGCCATGCCTTCCCATCCCCAGTACAGATGAGTCCTCCTTGGGCAGGTTCATAGAGCCTATTCACAGAATGAAAAGGCTTCTGAAATGCTTTAAAAGAAAAACTGCAATGAGCTAGATAATAGAAGTCCAATTTAATAATAGCATCATGTTTTTTTTTAGTTTAGCCACTTCAGCGACAGAGAATCATTTCATTATCAAAGTGGCTACAAGCAGTTATAGGCAGCTAAGGTGGGGGAAAGACATACCTTCTATAGAGCTTGATAGGGCTCAATTTAGTAGGCCTGATCTTCAATAAAGAAATTTAGTAGTCAGTACCAGTAAAATTTCACTATTCTCGATTTTAAAAAAATGTATCTGTTAAAGAAAAAAGATTTTAACTTAGTATTAGTATTTAAAGATAATTATTATGGTTCTCTCCTCAAACACATTATAAATATGTCTTTGCCTTACAAACATTTGACAGCCTCAAAGTAAATGCTCCCCTGATACAGTTTGGCCTCAGCCTCTCCTTGTGCTGAGCAGCAATGTGCACTTATGTCATTCAGTCAGTGGTCTATGAATCCAATACTAGTGAAACAGACAGATTTTAATCAAGCTCCTGGTTCTGGTGCTCCTGGTTTTCCCCTCTGGAGAGGTGCTTTAATCACTTATCTCCAGCTTATCAGCCTGTCCCATAGTCCCTTTGATTCCCCTGAAATTAGTTTTAAACCAGTGCAGCAGACCAATGAACTAAGGTCCTACGTGCACAAACAAGCTCATTTTCTCCAAAGTGATGACTTAAAGAAAGACTGTGGTCAATACATTCAATCAACAATCAATTAATGGCCCCTGCTTCCTCTTCTGGCCTGTGTTCTCTCTTTCTTCATCTTTATGTCTCTCTTTCTTCTACTCGTCTCTCCATTTACAGTGAATTGTTGTTGCAATTGCCCTCATATCTAATAGTCTCTCTCCATCTTTCAACCATTTTCATTCAATCAATATTAAGCATATTTTTAGTGTGAATTACAGCCACTTTGCCTTATTTGCCTTCCTCCCCAGTTTCATTCTCCCATCTCTGTCTCCAACATGGCACACATTTCGATTAATAATGTGATGCAAAAGGCAAGCAATAATAAATCGAAATAGATTTTTGTCTTTCTCTCATAAGTGTAGGCCACTGCTATGCTATGATAGAAAAACAATCGTTTGTTCATTGTTTCATACCATATAACACAACAGTAGCTTTTCCAATAAGCAGTTGATGAGGGACTGATGTCTTTAAGTTTATTAAAATAAATAAATAAAAAAGAAAAGTAAGTTGACATGATATCAAATTAATTAAAAAAAAGAAAAAGGCCAAATCTTAAAGTTCAGTAAGATAAAATACAAAGAATAACATGTCACACTACAGGCTTAACACAAAGTGACCTTGCAAAGTAACCTCTGTAATGTGCAGTTCACATACACTACAGCAATGAGGAAACATTGATGGAACAAAAACTTAACAGGTTATTTTCTCTCTTTTTCTCTCTCACTGTCCAGTTGATCTAAACCGCCTCTTTGATGATGTCAAGCGATACAGCTGTACTCCTCGCAACTACTCTGTAAACCTGCGTGAGGAGCTCAGAGCCACCAACGCCGTCTTCTTCCCTCGATGTCTGCTGGTCAAACGCTGCGGAGGCAACTGTGGCTGTGGAACTGACAACTGGAACAGCGGCTGCACCTGTCAGGCCTCCAAGACGACACTCAAACTACATGAGGTAGGTCCTATAACACGACGACACACTTCTGTCAAAGCATCACTCAAACTATGATATTAGATATCAAGTTTGGTCCTTCTGTCCCTTTTTCCTTTCTCTTTTTTCTTTCTCTCTTCTTTTTCTGTCTTCCTCACACACAGTTTTAATAATTACTAGCTAGAGTCATAGTCATACAGTACAGTACGAACACCAGAGGAATGGATACAACACACACACACACTCACAGATACACTAATGTGTGTATCTTATAAATGTAGGTTTCTGTTATGTAAATTTTCTGCATTGGCTCATGTAACATTTGATACCTGGTGTCATGAAAGGGAGCGGTGTCACTGCTGAAGAGCGGCACTGAGTTGAAAATGAATGATGTGAAGGACAAAAGAAAGTTCTCTCAGTTACCAGTTATTTTAAAAGTTAGTAGAAGGAGTGTAGTAGTCTGCAAGCATAGATGAAAAATTTAAAAACGTTAGGTTGTGACCTTGCCTAGTTCCTAGATGATCACTGTGGGTTTTCATTGCCATTTCCCCTCCTTCATCCTGTACCACAAGAGGAAGAAAATTTACTAAAACACCTTTTTTATCAACAGATCAGACACGAAGGGCCAGAGCACACACAAGCATATGCAGAAATATGTTAAAAGCACATCTTTTTCCACCTTCCTAAAAGCACAAAAATAATAAAAACTCTTATACACAAGGAAATTAAAATCAGGAAGTGTAAAACATGATATTAATGAATGAGTTTTCAATAATGTGATGGCATTCAATTGAGACTTGTTACAGAACAGTGATAATGCTTATTCAAACATGAGACTAACATGTAAAATGTCCAGTATGCATTTTGTGTGAGTAAGTATGTGAGGGAGGGGGGGAGAGAGAGAGTGAGAGAGAGAGAGAGAGAGAGATTGGGCAAGCGCCGCATCAACAATGAAGCAGCAATGCACCAGCAGCCTCACACTTTCTCCCCGCTTCTCTCCTCCATATGTTTCTATGTCAGCCTCGTCTTTCTCTTTCCAATCTCTCCATATCTCTCTCAGCGCATTGTTAGCATTCTCTCTCTCTCTCTCTCTCTCTCTCTGTGGGCTTCCATCATCCTTTCATTCTTCCCAATTCCCATTTTCAATTTATCCCTTTGCAATGCACCATTCTTGTTCTTTAAGCCTGTCATTCATTCATTCTTTTCTCCCTCTTCCATCCATCTCTTTGTGTCTTTGTTCTCATATAGCTTCATTATTGAAACATGTTCCTCAGGGCTCTCTCTCTCTGTCTCTCTCTCTCCCTGTTAAAAATCGTACAATGGGAATTTAGACAAAAGTGGGATTTGGGTTGTGCAATGCATTAGTGTGTGTGTAAGTCAGTGTGTATGGGGTGTGTTTGTGTATGTATATACTGTACATGCATAAACTGCTTGTATGTGGGTTCTAATGAGTGTGTGGTTGTGTACCGTTGTGTGTGTATTTGTGAGAGATTTCCATTCTGCTCTCTCCTTGCAGGCCGTCTTAGACCTGTAACTGCTTCCTTCACTGACTGAACTTCTAAAGGAACACATTATTACTCACACTATTGTTTCAGTGCTAGGAAGTCCTGACATAAATCATGGGCAGCCTTGCTTTCACTGAGCTTTGGAGAACAAATTCACTGCATCAGTTGTGGAACAATTTGTACTTCTACTCTGTTTTCACATTAGAAGTGGCACCTGCGAACAATGTGGCCATTTGCAACAAACTCAGTTATAGTAAAACACTGACTAAATCTAACTATCAAATAAAGTATATAGTAATTTTTTATAGACTCTGACTGTAAAAAGAGCCTTGTAAACTCTTGACTCCACATTAGTAAACAGTGGTCTAATTTTTGCTTAAAACCACAATACTCAAACCTTTTGACATGGTAAAAACAACATACTGTATATATCTGTGGGTGCACGTCTGTAGTCTGAGTGTACACATCCCTTCATTTGCTGTAAGTGTCTTATGTTGGTATGTTTTAAAAGATACTGTATGCTGTTTTGTCTTTTGGCACAGAATAATAGAGGAATTCCAGTGTGGTCAGTTATGATTAACAAGGTGATGGGTGGGCATGTAATTGTATTATAATGGCCCCCGGAGTTTCACAGTACACTGCCTTGCATGCTGCATTCTTAGAAGCCTTGCCTTTGCTTTCTAATCTATATTTCGACGTCCTTCACTTGCTTTACTGTCAAGATTTTTGCAATATGTGCAGTTACTCTCAGGGAGCAGTGCTTCTCTTTCCTGTTGAACTCCTGCAGTGATTTGTCATGAATGATGTTCTTTAAACCAACTTTACATCAGCTCCTCATTATTTTCTCTACATCTACATGTCTCTCCCTCTTTCAAATTGGATTTATTGGTATCAACAACAATGAGCTGACAAAGTATTTTCAACACCCAACAGTGAATCCACTTTCTCACCCCGTCTCTTCATCCTCTTATTTTCTGACTCTTTTAGGTGCTGAAGTACTCCCCAGAGGTCACTCTGCATCAGAGCCAGCGGAGGCCGCGGGTGCGCTGGATCATAGACGAGATCTTCCTCACACACCATGAAAAGTGTGAGTGTGCGTGTCCCTCCCAGCCCCCTCGCTGAGACACTCAGACTGGCACGTGCATCTGGAACTGTTGGACGAGTTCTTCTTTTATCTCTTTTGCAACGGACTTCATACAATAACAGCAACACACATGCAGCAAAGAAGAAGGCAGCAATTTGACTGACAGCTTGCATCGTACACATTGACATTTGTTCTTGCAAGTAAAACACCTAACTTCCTCTGTAAACAGGCCAAACTTGTAAATGCATTAATGTTTCTAGCCAAACACAATTGATCTTTAACTTCCCTGCAACTTGGTGTCTAAATCTTGCCTGTATAGACCCCATTTAAACATAATGTGCACTGTAAAGTGTTCAAATAACAGTGGATTGTCTCCAAAGGAATTCACTGCAAATTAAATCCGTTTTTTTCCACCAAAAACTAAATAATGAAACACATTTGGAATATAGAAAAATACCACATTATGTAGAAATAACATCCATATTGTATCTATTGTATTCTAACCATATTGTAACTTACATTTACACAATGATCAAAGGAGTTCAATGGATACCAACTTGATTGAATCGAAATTGACTCCAACCACTGTGTAAACTGTTTTTGTATTCCTATTTCATGAGCATGTATCTTCGTGTTATAATGAGACTTCAGGCACTTCTTCTGCCAGGAATATGCTGGGTTGAGGGAGCGTGAGACAGACAGAGGGAGGGAGAAGGGTTGGAGGAAGTGTAGGCCAAAATAACACTTTATCTTGATGTGAAATTAGGCTAACCACAACCCTCCAGATCTGAATTGCACATTAACACACACACACACATTCACTCTAGGCTTCCACTCCTACCTAAAGATAAAAACGGTAGTTATTTATACTGAATTTTTCACTTCTCTGTTTTTCAGTGCAGCCCTCCTTTCTTTTGCACACATTCCTGCATATATTCCCTTTGTCTGTCCTTCCATCCATACACTTTCCACTCCTTTTCTTTCTCTCTCTCTAATGCACGCACATCCTCTCTCCCTCCATCAGTCATTCTCCAACACATCAAAGGAGATGTCAGATGAGGCCGTCGCGGTCTGCCCAGTTTTCTGAGCGTTCCTGGCATTCCAACTGCTAACCGGAATTCTGCTAACACGGATAAAACTGTGATCCTTAGACCCCAAACACATAAGAGGAAAGATGGAGAGACACTCAGGAAGAGCAACTGGGAGTTTTTTTCAGGAAAGGCTACAGACAGAAAAGGGACAATCAAGCAAGCCACCTATTTGTAGATTACCAGCTCTCCTGGATGAGAGCTGAGGGGAGCTACTTCCAAGATACAGTACATAAAAGATTGCAGCTACTTCAGCGAGTTCAATCAGCATGTTCATGTTTTTCTTTTTTTTTTTTGTCACGCTGCTTATGAAGATGCTCATATGTATCACTATCTGACCCACTTCTTTGCACATCTGCAGCAGCACCACAGTGAAAAAGAGATCTGTGGGAATTGGAGTAATGTTCTTGGTCTGAAAATACAACTGATACTTGAGTGAGTGTGTGTATGCGTGTGTATGTGTGTGCAGTCTGCCTGTAACAGCTCAGGAAGAGGTCCTTTTGTTTAAGAGGTGGAGGGTTACCAACAGTCTGTGAGAGCTGGCAGCAGGTACAAGCATGTGAATGGTCGGCATGTGACTATGCGTGCAAGTGTGTGTGTGTGTGTGTGTGTGTAAGTAACTAGAGTATCAAAGCAACACAGTGAGAATTCAAACTAACTGCTTATCATTTCCATACACATGACCCAGCTGTGAGAAATAAAAGACACTGTCATCTGTCATCCCTCCATCATATCCCATGTGTCCCACCATCACACTCCAAGAACCCCCGACAGGCTGGATTTACGCCGAGAAAATGGGATTTTACACACTACTTTTGTTCTAAAGACAGGCAAAAAAAGAATAACTGGACACTGAGACGATTTCCTCGGTCACAGTGAAACCCGATCAACTGTGTGCCGGCAGTGCTTTTATGTGCATGTGTGTACTGCAAGTCAATGGTGTTATCTGGCAGCTGTCAGATACAAAACACTAAATATTCCAAAGTAGTGTCTGGTTGTGCCGCAGTGACATACCAACTGATTTCATCCCAGACACCCTCCACACACGCACGCATGCACAGTTGTTCTTGGCTATAGTTCATCTAAAACAGCCTCACTTTACTTTAAAGCTTTTGTCTTCCGTTATCTTGCAAAAGTTAGCTTTCATTCTTGTGTGTTGCATTTTGAAACACAAAGATATCCATAAAACTCATAACGAGTTGGTGATTCGTTCAAATTTCACAGAGGATGGTTATCAGGTTAATTACCCAGTTATATCTTCCGTAGCTAATGAGCCAGATGGTGATTAGGTAACGTCTCATTTTCCAAGATGCTTTGCTGCAAAATGTAGTTACTGTACCAACGACTATGTTTGAGCTTTTATGATATTGCAAATTTATGTGTGGGGTGTCTGTGCGTGTGTGTGAGTGTGTGTGTGCATCCTGTGTCTGCCAGTTTTCTGACGTTATCAGCACATTCCAGTGTTGCGTGCCCCAAAGTTGACATTCCTCTTTTTCCTCATAACCGTTTGTGTTCACTTCCAGTTCTTTTCAATAGAAATCACATGTATTTCAACGGCAGACATTTAAACCTGCTTGTGCAAATGTTTTGGTTTATTTACGTTAACTATGAGCATCAAAAGGTAAGATTTGGCCCAGAGTTTCAGCTTAGTTTCTGAGGATTGTGGGGGATTGTACGGTCATATTTTCAACTCAGAGAAAAGTTGTTGATGTTAGTTTTAGCAAAAAAAGAAAACAGTCAACCTGCTTTGCTGTATTTGGAAAAACCTTCATGACAAAACTGTATGCTTTACTTAAATAATTTATTGTGTTTTTCCTTTATTGTTTTATTAAAAATATCAGCTGGTTGTCTTGAGTGTTTCTAGCATTAGTGCCTCCAGTCCATGTTGCCCCCCCCCCAAAAAAAAAAAAAACAACAACAACCAAATACTGTAAAGAACAACTTGTTTGATCAACTGTAGAGCATAATAGAAAATGTGTTATGTTTCAGTGGGTACATCACACTGGAGAATAAGGTGTAGGGAGAAACTGGGAGAGAGGTAAAGTATAAACACTAAACACAGAGTGCAAGAAGAAGAGAAAAAGAAAGAGTTTGCAGTGTTCTTGCATACAACACACAGAGCACACAGGTCACCATGGAAACCACAGACGTGCTTTTAAGACCAGTGTATCAATGATAAGTTCAGGAGAGGTTATAGAATTGCGTCAAATGTCTACTAATTATAGTCACCTCAAGTTTGCCGCAGCACCTTTACAATACTCTGATCCTGTGAGTCAGCACAAGTCCAGACACACGGAAAAGGTTCAGGCAGCCTGATAATCAGACTGAATGACAGTAAAAGTTATGTGACATTTCAGTCTGAATCTGTGTCAATGTTTTCTTCTTTAGAGAAGGGTTATTTTCCCCTAAACAATCAGTAGCAAGTGGCCAATCCGTTGTATCAATTGAAAAAATATGCTGATTTGAGATTTGTCAGTTTTATCCATGCTTGTTGCAAATTTTGTGGCTCTGGAACAAGAAAATGATGTACCCATTCCTAATACCGCCTATAAATATCTGATTGGCTTGGTTGTTGGCCTGCTCAATGATGCCTGAAAAGCTGGCATAATTGTTGCTTTCAAAACATATGGGAGGGATGATGGAGATTGGACATTCACATTTTTGCAACTCATGAGCATTCACATCAGCACAACTAAATAATTGTAAAATTTAATAGGTTAAGAAGAAAAGTGTACCGTTAACAGCTCTGGGATGCTGTACTTTGGCACTCTCATTCTCATCCTGACATTGTTAACACACTGATGTTAAATGTTCCATATGTATGATTCTGAATTATTTTACATATTATTTTTATGTATTAAAAACTTTTTTTTGCCAATGTGTCAATGGGTTATAACGTAACTTAAAAAGTGAGACCTTCCCTAACTTTCTCAGTTGCCTGATATGCATGGGATGTGGGTCGGATTTTGGGCGTAAATCCAAAGTATGTGATGCTTATGCACACTCCAGAGTGCCTAGTTTCTCCGGTTCTCTAGTGTATGACACTAGCAAATGTTTAGTTTAGAAATGGAGTCCATTAACATCAACAAAATGACCAACACCCTCAATACAGAGTCAGAGATAACATTGCTGCAAATCTTGTTTAATATGTTAAGACATTCAGACAAATTAGTTCACCTGTCATAATTACAAAATGGCTGTGACGCAAACTCCATTTACAAATCAGAAACTGATATTTACTCAAACTCCTATGATATGGACACAGCATTCGTCACATGATTAAAAAAATTATCAAAATGTATAGAAATTAATTAAATTAAAATATTATTCATGTCCTATTTTCATTTTATTCAAGTCATTTTCTACATCTCTCAAGGCTGTTTCCTGTCCCAGTGGTTGCTGTGGCAACCCTTCCTGTGGGGTTATCATTACACAGCAGTCTCCCTCGTACAGCCAGCCAGTCACATCCCACATGCCATCGACCAGCCAGTCATTTGTCTGTTTGTCTGTCTGTCTGTCCATCCATCTCCCCATCCTTTCATCCACCAGTCCATCACTGACTAGTTTCAGAGTTATTCTAAGATAAAGGGAAACAAAACAAGGTAGCCTTCTCTCAGTCCCCACAGAGATGAGAAAGACTGAATAAGAAGAAATACAGCAAGATAAACAAGAGTGAGTAGAATTAAGATTACAGTTTAAAATGTGAAGTAAATAGAGAGAGGGACTATGGGAAAAGGTTGATCAATCAGAAGAGAGAGAGAGAGAGAGAAGGTCAGATAGAGAGAGGTTTGAACCCATCATTCTTATAAGGCTGTTTTTGTATCTGTCAGCAGCTTCTTATCTTTTCCTTGTGGGCAAAGACACACAAATACACAAAATGTCAACTCAAACAGATTAGGCTGTTCTCGGACTGTGCTTTTGAAAAAAAAAAATCAATAATAAATAAATAAGTAAATCTAATTGACACTATGGTATAGTACCACCACTGATGCCCTCTCATTCTTTAGCTGATTCTATGTTTTCCCCAACAGTCGTTTAACAATCCACCCAGTCTCTACTGTGCTTCCTTGTGCCAGTATCCCACTTTCCTTTTAATCCAGTCATGTTTCACATGTATTCCTTGGTTCCATTATTTTCTTCTCATTGTCTTCACATTTTTTCTCTTCTCCTTTGCTTTCTTTGTATTTCTTATCAGTACAAATCCACCCTGCTGTTACCTGGGAAACCAGGAAATGAAACCACAAAGATGGAGGGAAACATCTGAGGACCTCTGTTGTGATCTCTCTCTCCTGTCTCCCTCTATCTACTTATATTTTTTATACCCCATTTGTCATTTCACATATTTCCCTTTCTCTGATGGTGTTACTATAAGTGCATGTCTGGAAGCAGTGTTAAAGCAATTGTCGATTTTCAATCTTACCATCATGCATCAGTCATAGGGGTGGCCTCTAACATGCATAATACCTCCCAGCACTCACTTTGCTTTTCAAACCATTTTCATATCTCCCTCTTTGGTCTGTGATTATGGGCAAGGATTGACAATATACTCTGAGGAGACGAGCTACACTCTAGAGGAGCTTGTGTTACAGCGGAGGCCGTTTTGACTACCATGTTAGGATACCTCCTCTTGCAAGACAAGAGAGTTATCGATGCCACTGATTGTAAATGAGTTTAAGGCTGCACTGATCAATATTTTTATATTAACAATTGATCAAATGACTACATGTAATGTGAAAGGTGTTTCTCGTTGTGATGAAACCACAGAGAATTATCACCAGACTTCACAGTCCCCCTCAGCTTTATAGACCATCGTGGTGTCTTTTAGCTCATATTTTATTGTTTTGCTTCACTCTCACTGCTCTCATCAGTGTCGTTTCCAGCATAAGGGAGCTGTTGTTTAGCAAAAACACTTGGTAAACCCACTGTACACTACTTGCCCAGCCAAAAAAGACACATACACATGGTTTGGCAACTAGATGGTGAACATGATGGAGCATTAAGCTGCTGAGGAGCACAGGAGTTGGTGGAGACCAAAAGAGAGTACCTTGGACCACCACGTCGCCTGAAATATGACACCAAATGAATACTAATGATGTTCTCTGTCTGCTGGATGTGTTTGCTGTTTGAAAACACTAGGCATATCAACTTTATATGGTGATGATATGACAGTATTGTGTTTACAACTTGTTGAGCTGCCCCCAGGTAAAAAACAAATCAATGAATGCAGGTTTAAATACAAAACCCATACAGTTGGGAGAGGTAAATATAAAAAAATGACAGAAGCAGAGACTGGGATATTTTAATTTTGGTCCTAGTATGGGTTAAGCTCCACTAGTTCTGTATTTTTTTAATATCATTTCCATAATGTCTATTTCCCTACTTATTTTAAACCCCACACCTCTGGGGAATGCAAACGTTCTGTTAAAAAATGCTATGCCTCAAGCCCCAAGCTGAGGTTATTTTATATTGAAAGCTTCCTTCAGAGCCAGAATCCTTGCAACTTTTTCTTTTAAGGGTACTAGATTGTACCCTCCATTTACGGTGTAGTTTGAGTATGGATGGAACTCTATTAAATATCTATAGGAATTTATAATATATATTATAACTATTAAAACCACAACGGAAGTTTAGAAAATTAAATTAAATAGGAAAAAGCTTTTTGTAATTTGAGTGAACTGACCCTTTAACCACAGCTTAGCTCATCAACAGTTCAATTTTGATAAAGGTCAGAAAAAAAACCCTCAAGAGAAATCTTTTTCGTTCTCCTGCTTTTCAGATCATTCACAGTCTCTGCAGCTGTTGTAATAGGTTTAATTTTATCATGCAATGTTATCAAACTGTTAAGATTCTGTTCCCATATGAGCTGTGATCAAATGTGGACACCCTCAGTGTGTTGTCGTCCATCAAAAGTTAAAGCTGGGTTATTTGTGTAGTGAAAAACGGACAAGAGAAAAAAGTTAAACGCAAAGAATGATCTAATTTAGGGTGGAGACTCATCACAGTTAATCAGCCTCGACAATGTTTGGGTTAGAAAAGGTTGGGTGAATTAACTAAAAGACAAACAGGCACAATGAGAAAGGAGGTTATACTTGACAGAGGAAGGCAGTACTGGACAGAAGAGTTTGGGGAGAAGAATGAATGATGGAGAGAAGTAGACCGAGACAGGAAAAAAAAGCCTCAAGACAGAAAGAAGGTTTTAGAGAGACAGACAGACATTGAAAAAGCGATACACGGACAGATGATGAGGAGGTGGAGGAGAGCTGATGAAGTCATTGAGGCGTGTAGGAAAGAATGGTGAGAATATGACCCATAACTGAGACACGATGTAGCGAGACAGCGTTGCCCCACATCACACACACTGAGCTGACATGTAGCAGAAATGAATGGGAGGAGCACTGTCAATCTGTCCTTTCTTTTAAAAAGAAAGGCCTTGTCTCTCTTTCTCTGGTCAATGTCTACCACAAGAAAAAAAATCATGTTTCACTGACAGTTTATTGCACCCATTGCTGCAGTGCTCGAAAAACCGCACATTGCCTCGACTCCAAGAAGAGGTGGGTGGAGTTGGTTTAGAAACGTATGAGTGAAGATTTGACTTCACCATGTCAACCTCACTTCTCTTTTTTTTCTTACCTTTGGCTCATTCATTTGCAAAATTCACTCAAACACGTACCGACATAAGCAGTCACTCACTTCCAGTCCTCTCCGTCCTCCTTGTCCCTTGCTCCCATCTTCCCCCTCGTTCACACTACATTATAGAACAGTTTTCATTTAGGTATGAATATTAGATTCTTCTTTTGAATAATGGAGAAAGACCGTATGTGAGGAATCTGCAGACATAAGGAGAAA